ATTTCATAATCTCAAAAATCCTGTAAACTTATTAGAAGACTTAATTGAAGCATTAAAAAACTAGAATTGAATTGAATGTGTATTGTACATTAATAGTCCTGCCTTTGAACTAAGCAATTAAGAGAAATTCATAGCATTTCCCTGATTTGCAATTGAGATTGCTAAACACATTAGTATTACAACATGACTATACAATGTTATTTTAAACTCCATTTCACAATCTCTAAAATTGCCTCATTATATAAAATGTACTGTTCTCTGAACTAATGAAGAAAATTTGCATTTGTATACTCATGTGATGAAATTCAATAAAAATAATTTTTTAAAAATGAAATCTAGACATAAAACTTAGATGTCTGGATACGAACAGTTTTCAAAAGCTTTAAATCATGAAAATGCTACTTGACTTTCTGCTATATGTTTAATCACATAGTCTAGTCAGTCCTCAACCCAGCTTCCCTGTCCTTACTACCTTTTTTTTAATACCAAAAAGCACAGTGGTAAATGTTTTGTCATTTTAATCTAAGAGTGGTTAAATTATTAGTAAAAGTTAGTCTTTCCATACTAAAAATTCCATACAAAACACTTTGATAAGATTAGGTTCACAAGTTAATGAATAGCATGAAGTTAGATAATTTTCTAGTGAAATCACCATAAAGCTAGTTCAAACAAAAGAGGATGTGAAGCTGATTTTACTTCTCTTCAGTTGTGTATATTTTAAGATATAAGAAAACCAGATTTCCTCTAGAGAGGAAAAAATTAGATTGCAGCATTAGAATAAACATTATATTGAGAAAATAGAAAAAATATTCTTAGTCACTATTTTTAAAAGCAACTTTAATTAAAGTCACTTTGGGTTAAATTTTAGAATTTATTATATAAACAGACCATATTTGTGTATTATGCCTTATAAATTCAGTCTAGAATATCCTGAGTTTCATTATAGTTCTTATAGAAAGATAACTGGCTTGAAGTGAAGCAATGAAATGCTGTGTGTGTGTGTGTGTGTGTGTGTGTGTGTGTGTGTGTGTGTTTGTTTAGTTGAAAAATTTAACCCAGTCAATTTTACAGTTAATGATTCAAGGATATTATCAATCATTTGCAAGCAATTATAATAGATAATTCAGTTTCTTATTTCCCACCATGACAGGTGCCTCTCAAAAATGGCATATAACAATTATCAATCTATTTTTCAAAATTCATGAGGTTTGGTAGTTTTCTTTTGAGCAAGTATTACAACTCAAATAGCTAAAATTTTAAATAGCCTAAAACTTGGACATTTTGAAGTAAACAATCAACTGATCACATATCAATTCCAGTGTAACACCCAAATATTTTTAATGAATGATTATCTCAATAAGTTTAGAAATGTTCCCATGGCACCAAGTTAGAAACCAATTCAAAATCAAATTAATGTACCAACAGAAAACAACCACAAATCCTGAGATAATATAAAATAATAATGAAGCTAAATTCATTAAGGTGGTTTTAATAGTTTGAATTCCTCTTCTGCATTCTTATTAAATCTTTATGGACATGTTCTCTCCTGGATTTCATAAGGCTGTCCGATTCATGAGACATACATACATACACATATATGTATGATTTTTTTTTTCCTTGAAAAAGAAGGGAGAGGAGGAGAGGGATAAATTCATCAATGATGAGAGAGTCATTGACCGGCTGCCTCCTGCATGCCCCACACCGAAGATCGAGCCCACAACCCCGACCTGTGTCCTGACCGGGAATTGAACCCTGACCTCCTGGTTGACAGGTCAGCACTCAGCCACTGAGCCAGCGGCCAGGCAGGCCTTTATCTTTAGTGGGACCGGCGGGGAGTGTGGGGGGGGGGAGTGGGGGGAGGTAACGGTGTCTCAGACAAATAACAATACAGATGCACACATTGTAAAACACAGCTCCCTGGTTTTGTTCTTTGCTCAGTTAAATTTGCTCTGACGAGGATGAATCAATACAAATGTATCTCCTGCAAAAAAACATCCAACATAGAAAAACCATCCCAAATGATAACATTGCCCGGCTGGTAGTCTTGAAAATTGAAGAGCTGGCACAAATGCAATGCAGAATGTGTCTATTTGCAGTTTGCAGCTGATCTGAGACAGCTTCCTTGCCTATTTCTCCTGACAGAGATAGAAGTGCCATCTTGATTAACTAGATAATTATGTCCTGACTTGAACTAGTTGTTATTTTTTTAATGCTCCATGATTTTCTGTTTGCACCACTGGTGGGAGTTTTCTCTTCACACTTTTAAAATGATCACTTGTAAACATATATGTGCACACTAAAGAGGAGTAATAAAAGGAATAATTTCACACTATCACCCCTTATGTCCACTTTCCCTATTGCCTCCTTCCTCTTGTCATCACGTTCTTTCCCTTTGAATTAAGCACCGTCATGAATTTTGTATTTATCATTCCCTTTCTTTCCTTTTCACTTTTTTTCCCATCAATGCATGTATTTCTAAACAGCACAAGTTTTCAAATTTTCCCAGTTTTAAAATTTAATTAAGTACAATAAAACTACAGCTTCCCTCTATGGCTTGCTTCTTTTGATCAATATTATGCTTTTGACATTCATCCATGTTGATGTTAATAACTGAAGTAATTAATTTCCCCAACTGTATAGTATCCAAGGCCTAAGTATATCCATCCATTAGGTGGATATTTCAGTTATTTCCAGTTAGAGATTATTATGAAAAGTATTGCTGTAAATAATCTTTGTGTAACTTCTACACGTGCAAATGTAGACATTCCCTGGGGCAAATGTCTAGGAGGGCGATTGCTGGGTTAAAGAAAAGGCACAAAGTAAACTTTACTGGTTAATGCCAAGGACATTATACCATTTATACTCCCTCCAGCTGTGTGTGAGGTTTGCTTCAGCTCCATAGCCTCACCAACAGTGGCACTGTCAGACTAGTGGCATGCTAGTAGCATAAAGAAATTACTATTTGCAAAAGAAATGTTGCTCTTCAAGTAAAAAAATCTAAATTATAAATTTATAGTTTCACTAGAGGCCTGATGAACGAAATCATGCAAGGGGCCCAGCCCTCACAGCCCTGGCTTTGTCCAGAAGGTCGTTCAGCTGTCTAGTCTAATTAGCATATTATTTTATTATTATTATAGTGTTATCTTTGACATTTAACCCATCCAGAAGTGCTTAATGTGTGCATACTCATGAACTAGGTATTCAATTTTAGTATATATTTTTTTTAACATGGATAACCAATTATCCCAAACCACTTATTGAATAGTCTATCCTCTGATAAATGTCAACATTGTCATTTAGCAAATCCTCTTTTTCTCTGATGTACTGCAGTCTCATTAAGAGATGTTCAGTTTTTGGGTTCTTGATTTATCTTTTGTAGACTTCTTTAGAACTACTGTGTCTGAGAATTGATTGATATCTTTAAATAGTTCCAAAAATTTTTCCTTTTAGCATTGCTTCTATTAAGTCCATTTAGAACCTTAATTGAACATATATTACATCTTCTCACTCTTCTCCATATTTTACATTTTATATTCTCTGATTCATGTTTTACCATTTTTAAGTCTCAGAACTTAACATGATTAATTTCTTCAGTTCTGACTTTAAGTGTACTAATTTTTGCTTCAGCTATGTTTAATCTGCTTTAAATTCATCCACTGAGCTTTCTAAAAAAAATACAACATTATGTTGACTCCATACACGTTCTCTGGTTCTTTGGTTCTTTTTCAAATCCACTGTTTCTGCCTCACATTTTAAAACGTCACTTTTATTTCTTTTATTACATTAAATATTGTAATATTTATTCTGCCTGAAAATTATGATATCTGACAACACTCCAGTTCTATTTTTCTCATCTTATCTATAGTGCTTTGTTTTCCAGAATATGTGCGTTTTTGCTTGTTTGTTTTATTTTGTTTTGTTTTGAATGTCAGTCCCTGATTTTCCGGAGCATGTTATCTGTGGAAATTCTCTGAAGATGAGATTGAAGTTGTCTTCCTTCAGGGAGGAAATAGTGTTTCCTACTCTCCCTGCTAATGACAGAGCACTTCAATTAAGTTCACCACTTACATTTTGTTCAATCTGCAGCCACGTGTGATTGGCACATTTCTCTCCTTTCTATAACTTCAGTATTGTCCTTAGTAATCTTTAAACAACATTTAAAAACCAATTAACCCTTCATTTTAATAATTCAATCAGAAGGGACACTCAGATTAATTTGCCATAATGCCAGAACTAGAAATGTACTCATATTTTAATACTTTATTTTCTCTAATTTTTTTTAACTCATAGTGAGCTGTTACAAAGGAGCTGCCTTAACTTCAAGGTGACTTCTCCAAACACAAGGTTTCTGGTTTATAAGGGTTCAGACAACAACACATCTGGGATCCAGCTATGCAAACGACAGCTGGCAGAACGTCAGCTCTGTGACCTAACCCATCCTCACCGGCGGTTACCAGACTTCAGGGAGCCCTCGGTACCAAAGAGAGAACAACTCACCAAAGGTCACATTTTCCATTTCTAGTTTCCTCAGTTCCTGGGCTCCAACCTTCAAACTCTGTCACATAAAGATTGCAGAAGGAACCCCGAGGCCCGCGGCTGCCTGAGGGATACCTATACACCCCTCACAGGAAGTTGTCCAGGTCCATTGTCATACATTTTTGTTTCTCATTTGTTTGAATGATTTCTCCAACTCTGCTTGTGACCATCATCCATGCTTGGTTTTGGTAACCTGGACACTGAAAACAAGTTCTTCTCCTTGGTCTAATCCTTTAGCTCCTTTTTCCCCCTCCATAGTTATCTGCTTTCCACACACCTCTTCCTGTTTTAGGCAGCATTCCATTTGTCCTGGTCCTGGCTGTGAGTCATCCCCAGCTAGTCCTCCTCTTCCTTGAGCCACTTCCCTAGATCTACATTACAGAATGTGGGATGCAGAAGGGAATGTTTTGGTCCCTTTAGTTAAGCATGCACTACTACTCAAAGCATCCTGTGGAGAGAGGTACCTGAATGGGCCGCCCATCGGGGGTCAGCACCTCCTCCGAAAGCTCCATCATCTTCAGGGCCATGAGCGCGATGGGCTTGGCGTGGCAGAGGCTTTTTCTGTGCAGGCCTGCGGCGACACAGTAGGCGTCACCTATGGTTTCCACCTGCAGCGATCAGACAAATGAAAGGCAGACATGTGATAAAGGGCCCGGATAGAAATGACCGATTATCTGCAATCACAAATGTTGCTGGAAAACATGTCAGCAAAACACCGACAAATTAAGCAATTAGACCACTGAGAATAATCAGAGCAGAGTTTGCAAACAGCATCAGTCAAATGCGGGCATCTCATGCCAGGGCTGCTCATCACCGTTATCACCCTGGATGACCCCGGAAATGGAGAACAACTGGGACATAAAACAATATTCACTGCAAAAAAAGAATCGTCGGTGTTTTACCCAGACAGTTTCCAAAGAATGATGTTTTCCAAAGCCGCCCACTATCTTCCTCAAATTTCCAGTAGTGGCTATATTTGAGATGAGTATTACTGAGCACAACCCCATGCATGGCCTCATCATTAAAGAGTTAGCAGGCACTGTGAGAGTCTTTCTGACCCGGTTCTAATTCTGTTGTCATCCATTTTGAATTGCCATTGTTTTTGTTCAATGTTAACTCTTGACGGCAGGTTAAAATCCCCAAATTTTCAAAGCATTAGAAGAGGCATAAAAATTAGGCACAGCTTATTTTCAGAGGAAAGTTCACTAGTTATCCAACATATATACGATGGTAAAAGCCTCAAGTGTCCTAATATTTAAATTAGAGAAGAGAGATGAAATATTGTATAAAATGCTCAATTTCAATATCATATTTTCTCCGAAGCCCTCCATGGCCCTCGATTAGTTCCTAGTAGAACAAATCCTTTCTTTTATTCTGTTTCAGCACTTTCCACACCACTTTGCTATAGTTTTAATCATAGGCTATGATCAATACCTATCTTTGTATAATCAATATATACCTCTGGTTATGATGTAAGCTCTTTAAAAATGGGACACCTGTTTTGTTTGTTTGTTTGTTTGTTTGTTTTTAATCTCTGCATTCACAGGGATTTTTATTGTGTTAAAATATAGATATTTAACAAATGTCCACCAAATGAATAAATTAATCTACCATGTTTACCATGATTATAACAACAGACAATCTAATTGTTTTCTCATTTCACTTTTTTTTTTCATGAGCATCATATAGATCTGTGTAGGGAAAAAATGCCTTTTAAAATGACCAGACATGCTTCTATCCTAAATATACTAAGAATTAAAATATATTCCATTAGTTAACATTTAATAGCCATAATTAAGTTTCATGTGAATATATTCCAATACTCCAGATGTATTAAAAGATGTACTGTACTGCATTAAATTATGTAACCATTGATTTAGACAATATGATGAGAAAACTTAAGAAGCCAAAATTATCACTCAGTTATCAGAATCTTATCAGGAAATACACATAAAAAAATGATTCCAATACCCTCAGACCTATGATGAAGTTCAAAATTTCCACTTCAAGATGTTTTCTGATGCCAGAAAAAAATGGAAATAAAATCATACAAGAACAGAAAGACAATGCAATGTTAGTTGGCAAAGATTTTATTCCAAAGACTAGGACACTAGTATATTCCTCCCAAAGAATTTCCACTGAGAAAGACACCCAACAAACAATAAAAGTTAATATGGGTCATTTATAATTTCTTCCTTAGAAACACAAAAGCCTTCGCTAATCCTCACATTTATCTCATTCTTTTGTATTTCTACACAATTTTAAAATCCAGAGCACTGTTAACCATGTACTTTGAAACTAACTTCTGATTTGCGGGTATTAGAAAACATAATCAGTTTATTTGTATAAACTGAATTGTGTCAGAGTCACTCTGAGCATGTGTATTCCTAGAGCATGATCTTTTCTTGAAATCCCTTCTGTCACCATTTTCCTCGGTAGCATCATCTCCATTGTCTTTTCAGCAAACGTTCATGGAGTACCACTAAATGTGCATTTCCAAAAATTGTACCAAAAGAATAAACATTAGTTGCATGTCGCACTTTTCCCCATGGGAATATGTAACATAATAGTGCAGATAAAATGAACCAGTATGTTAGTAATTGATACAAAACATAAATCTGGTTAAATAGAAGATAAATATGTGCACAATATAAATATAACAAATTCACATTAAAACTCATACATATCGTGTAAGATTTTATAGCATTTATTTTCCAAATAGTCGAAGTCAGAATAGTGATCAGAAATAACAGGATCAAGAAAGAGTCAATAAATAGACACAAAAAAGTATGGCCCTTAGTGAAATGTAACATTCTCACAATTATTCATAATCACCCACAATAAAATTTAAAAAATCTAAAAGATGTTTCCACCATGCTAGGCTGTGCTGCATTAACAAAACAACCTCCAAACCTGAAATAACAAGGGTTTGTTTCTGACTCCTGCTGCATATTCATGGGGGTGTAAAGCTTGGGCCAGAAGAGAGAGAGAAAGACCTTGCCATGTCTCTTCACTCGGGGGACACGGCTAACAGAACCTCCTCACCTGGAGCTCGTTGTCATGACAAAGGAAAGAAAGCTCTGACAAATTATACACTAGCTTTTAAAGCTGTGCCTTGATGTCACATATATTGCTTCTTCTCAAGATTTATTCACCGAAGAAAGTCACATGGCTGTATGCTTGACATAAAGAGGATGGGAAAATGCTACCAATCTTGTGCCCGTGGAAGCGCAGGAATAACACTAGCGAATAATGAGTGTACGGGGAATAGTTTAAAAGTTTTCATATACCCAGGTGTCTGTAAAGTACGGGCAGTGTATCTTGTATGATGTTTTTCTTTCCTTGCAGATGCATTCAGCATCTTCACCTGAAAATCTTGGCTGAAATATGACCACCGTAAGAAGGCAGCATTCCATGAAAGGTCCGTTCTTTTCTCTTCTCTAAGAAAGCATCACTGTCGGGACTATGCATGTTTAGCAGAATTAAGTATATGTGAAAATCCTAGTGCCTTCTATTCGAAATCATTAGTTGATTTTGCTGCATGAGGAGCTGCGGAAATGAAAGCATTATGTATCGATTCCAATCGATTTTGAGGATGTTTCCTTCAGTTAAACCAAAGTAAAAAAAAAAAAAAAAAAAAAATGGACACTGTGAACATATTACAAAAAAGCTGCCATGAAGTTGACTATGTTTTGAATTCCTTTATAATGGCTTCAGTGTTTTTTTAAATAAAAGTTTAAATTCAACGGATCACCTAAAATAGTGCATTTCCTTTATTTCCAGTATCTCCAACGTGCTCTTAAATAAGAATGAAAATAAGGATAGTTAAACTACGCATGGAGATGGGAAAGACAGTGCTATGCAAAGGTCTGCAAACTTTATATTCTTTCCTGAACATGGAAGAGGAGGTTTAAATACTAAAATTATTATGGACAAATGTTGTCCCACAATTATTTTTATAGCTGACTTTATCAACTTTAAAGAAGTGGCCTATCTCGATAGATCTTCTTCACAACCCCTTATTGTAAAAATTCTCTCTTTTGACAATTTCTTATTGTCAAATTTATTTCAGAAATAAACTTAAAAAATTTTTTTAAATATATTTTATTGAATTTTTTTTATAGAGAGGAGGCAATGAGAGAGAAACATCGATCAGTTGCCTCCTGCACACCTCCTACTGGGGATGTGCCTGCAACCAAGGTGCATGCCCTTGACCAGAATCAAATCTGGGACCAATCAGTTCGAAGGCCAACACTCTATCCACTGAGCCAAACTGGTTATGGTAAAAATAAACTTCTTATGGATTCACTCTGTTTACCGTATTTTCCGGCGTATAAGATGACCCCCTAATTTTACAGTTAAAACATAGGTTTAGGCCTATATTCGCTGTATAAGACTACCCCCCACTTCCGAGGCAACATCAGTTCTTTTTTTAATAGACCGCCTCTCTGACTCCGGCCAATCCAAGCAGGCTTTTTATGCATGCAAATTATACATGTTCTGTACCCGAAGCTACACTGTGTTCTAGTAAAAAGCCTGCTAGGGCGGTGGTATAGTGCCATCCTATATTTCCAAGTGAGGTGCTTTCTATCCATCCTCTTTTCTCTATTCCCTCTGCTGAGACTTGAATTCAGACCACTGAAAAAGCCTAGTTGACTTTTTTTCATTTCTAAGGTCGTCTTATACACCAGAAAATACGGTATTTACTTTAGTTTTATTTATTTATTTATTTATGCATTCATTTATTTATATCTTTATTGTTGACAGTATTACATATTTTTCCTTTTTCCCCCATTGACCTCACCACTCCACCCCACCCCAGGCCTTCACAACTTTATTGTCTGTGTCCATGGTTCATGCTGTATAAGCTTATGAATTCATTGGTTGATCTCTTCCCTCCTCCCTTCCCAACTTCTCCTGCCTTCCCTCTGAGGTTTGACTGTCTGTTCAATGTTTTTATGTTTCTGGTTTCTCTTTATGTTCATCAGTTAATGTTGTTCATCATATTCCACATATCAGTGACATCATGTGACACTTATCTATCTCTGACTGGCTTATTTCGCTTAGCATAATGCTCTCTGGTCCACTCATGCTTTGCAAAATGTAAGAGTTCTTTCTTTTTTACAGCTGCATAGAATTCCACTGTACAGATGTACCACAGTTTTTAATCTACTCATCTGCTGATGAGCACTTAGGCTGTTTTCAAATCTTAGCTATTATAAATTTCCCTATTAAAATACCAATGGCATATTTCACAGATATAGGACAAATACTCCAAAAATTTATGTGGAATTAAAAAAAAAAAGTTCGAATAGCCACAGCAATCTTGAGAAAGAAGAACAAAGTGGGAAGGATCACAATACCAAAATATCAAGTTATAATACAAAGCCACTGTACACAGAACATCCTGGTACTACCACAAGAACAGGCATATAGACCAATGGAACAGAACAGAGACTCCAGAAAACAACCCAAGCCATTTATGGTCAATTAATATTTGAAAAGGGAGGCAAGAACATACAATGGAGTGAAGACAGTCCCTTCAATAAATGTTGTTGGGAAAATTGGACAGATACATGCAAAAAAATGAAACTAGACTACCAATTTA